ATTTATTCTGTTATTCTATTTCAAAAATATATTTAATTTTGTCTAATAATGCGTACCAGATAAGGGTCCAGAGTCAAATATGTTAACAAAAGAAGTCGGTGGACAAGTGGGTAACACCCTCGATTCCCGACAGTCATGAACTGGGATCGAAACCCGCGTTAACATTTTGTTTAATATATGAGTAACTTTCACATATTATTCATTGTTTCAATTACCATAAACTAGGTTGTTATTTTTGAGCGGAATATTTATTTATTTATTTCCTCTCAAATTTACAGTGTACCATTCGAGCATAAAGCTCACGAGTCACTTTGTCGTGGATGTTAGGCATCAAGAATTTCTAAAAAATGGCCTTCAGAACTGACTGGAAGGTCACAGTTCAGGTAGAGTGAAGTCCAGGTCTTTTATGTCTTGGATTGAGGTCTCCATCAAATTGGAACAATTCTTGTATAACTGGATTTTGGGAAGTAGAGAGTTTTAGATATAATTTCTGGGTCGAGGATATGTATATTTCTTCTATATTAGGCTGGTTTAAGTCCTGCTTTAAAATTGCATTTGATAGATTAAATGGGGCATTTACAGTACTTCTTAAACAAATTCTCATGAATGCATCTATTCTTTTCCTATCAGTCAAGGTTATGTATTTAAACCATACAGGCAATGCGTATGTTACTATAGGGAGAATACAGCTTCTGTATAAAGTAAATTTTTGGTTAACAGATAAACCACTTTTTGAACTGAACATATTGGATAATGAGGCTTTGGCTATTTTAGATTTTCTTATTATATCCTTCACGTGGCTGGTGAATTTCAGGTTAGAATCGAAAGTGACTCCCAAATATTTGACCTGCTGGGTCCAATTTATGGGAGATGAGCAAATTATAAGATTTGTCCTGGGTGTGAACTTGAAGCTATTTTGTGGAGGAAAGATAATTGCTTGAGATTTCTTTGGATTCAGATTGAGTTTCCATTTATCACACCAATTGCAAATGATTTCAAGATAGTTTTGAAGGCGGGAAATTAAAATATCTGGGGAACGCGAGCTGAATAACAGGGCAGTATCATCAGCGAAAAGAGCTAGTCGGCATTGTGGGATATGTGGAATATCATTGATGTATAAATTGAAAAGTATAGGACTCAATATTGAGCCTTGAGGAACACCAGATTCTATTTGCCGAGGACTTGATATATATGTTCCAACTTTTACGGAGAACGTTCTATCCTGAAGATAATTCTTCAGGAACCTGATGAATTTCTGAGGAAAATTATAAGAAGTTAATTTAATGATGAGGCCTCTGTGCCAAACCATATCGAAAGCTTTTTCTAAGTCTAAAAGCACTACTCCAACAGCTTCGTTAAGGGATTTGCGAGTTTGTATGAAGTCAATAACGGTAATCAATTGGTGAGTTGTTGAATGATTTGCTCTAAACCCAAATTGCTGTGGAATTAGAACATTTCTTGTATCTATATAGGTCTGGAGTCTTTTAAGGATGATCCGCTCAAATATTTTTCCAAATATCGGCAAGAGACTAATTGGCCTAAAATCATCCAGGGATTTAGATAGTTGCTTTTTTGGTATGGGAATAACTATAGCATGCTACCATGTCTTTGGAAAGTAGCAAAGATTAATAGATGCATTGAAGATGCTAGTTAAAAATACAACCCATTTTATAGGTAGGTTTTTGATTAATTTGGTAGTTATTTCATCGTGACCAGGCGCCTTGTTTGCAGAAAGTTTTGTTATTTCTTGTTTTACTTCTTGTGGTGATGTAAGTTTCAAAATATTTTCGTTGTTATCAAGAGTCATTCGAGTTTCATTTAAGGTTGGATGATTTGTTAGGGCTTCTTTTGAAACTATGGAAAAGTGTTTTGAGAAATTAAATGCCAAAGCCTTGCCAATTTCTTCATCTGAATGTAGAATATCACCATCTACATTAATATTTTTAATTTCCGATTTTTTTCGAGTTGACTTCACTAGTCTCCAGAAGGTGTTTGGAGTATTTAACGCGCTGTTGATAAGATCATTTTGACTTTGCTGGTTGTACTTTTTTAATATAATATTCACTTTCTTTTGAAAATGTAGATAAATTTCTCTGTGTCTGGGGTCCCATGTTGACTGCCATTTCTTTCTAGCTTTATTCTTTTCTCTGATAATATTTTAAATAAAAATAGGCACATGCGGTTTAACTATGGGAGAAACTGTTGTATTTTTAGAATAAGTATTAAGAATGGTTTTGTTGAGGGTTCCAATTTCAAGATCAATATTTATAGTAGAATTTAAAGGGGATCTGGGAAGTGGATTATTGATTAAATCTTGCTGAAAATATATCCAGTTTGTGTTCTTATTTACTTTCATAGAAAAATCATATTTAGGACATGCCAGCCTTAAAACCACAGGTAAGTGATCAGAAGATAATGCATCTACTGTGGTAATTTCAAAATTCCACGGCACATTTTTGAAAACCGCAAAGTCCAAGAAGTCAGGATGACCAATATGACTGTAGTGAGTAGCCAAGGAAGGAGCTATTATGTCCAACCCTGCAGATTCCGAAAACTCATGAAGAACCATTCCACTCGGATTACTTTTACTAGAGCCCCATAATGGATGTTTGGAGTTCCAGTCTCCTGCAGCGATGACAAGATTATTTTGAAATAATTTACTCAAATCCTCACATTTCAATAGTTGATCTGGTTTGCGATAAACAGAAGAAATTTGCAGGCTGGTTTTTCCATCAGGTTTAAATACTATAGTAGTATTTTCCAAATAATCAGTCTTAACAATAATCTTTCTATACTTGAAGAAATTTCTGAGGATAATAGCCGTTCCTCCTCCTCTCCCAATAAGACGGTCCATCCTAATAACGTCGTAATTTCTAAGATTAAGAGTTTTAGAATTTTTCAAATGAGTTTCCGAGATTAGTGCTATATCGATTTCATTATATTCCAAAAAATAGAGTAGTTCATCTTTTTTAGTTAAAATTCCATTGGCATTCCAGATTACTAATTTTAAAATCATATTTGTATTCATTTTAGAACTTCGCCAATAATGCTTAATAGCTTTTCGCAAAGAGTTTTAATATTTTGATTCGCAAAGTTTTGTTTCGATACACTTGCATAACTAGGCTTAAAAGTACTTTCCTGCACTGCGCTGTTGTCTTTGGTAACATTGCTATGAATATATGAAGATACCTTGGGAATTTGTGGTCGTTGGTTAAGAGACTGGTTTGGAATTTTTGGGAACGCAGGGCAGCCACGATAATTGGCCGTGTGAGCTTGCCCGCAGTTTACACACTTGGGTGAAAATTGCTTCGATTTTTTCGGGCAATCTTTGGTATGATGAGCTTCGGCGCATTTGACACATTTAGGTTTTAGAAAGCAATTCAATTGCCCATGGCCAAACCCTTGACAATTGAAACATTGGGTGACCTTTTTGGGAGATCTGAAGGATTCAACGACCACTTTCTGGTACAGCAGGTCAGTCAGATTATAAATATTCTTGTTGGAATCATATTTTGGAAGTTCAACAAGAACTATGTTCATTGCCTGCTTTGACGATTGGCGGTGAAGCCTTTTTACTGAAGCCTCTTTAAAGCCTAAGTGGGATAATTCAACTGCAATGTCTTCAATTTTAAAACTGGTTGAAACGCCTTTTATGACTACCTTTAAAGGTTTTTCTTCTTGTAATTTATAGGAGTAGCCGCCGTTATTTAAACGAACATATTCACGGATCTTTTTGAAGTCTCCTATATTCTTAGCTTTGATAATATGCTTAGGTCCTGATATGGTTGCTTGGAATGGTTCATCAGCTAAGTTGTTTAGTTCTTTACAAAGCAATTTCCAATCGTTCACATTTTCAACAATAACAGGAGGAATTCTGATTTTTCTACTTTTTGGGACATCACACCAAGGTCCTTCCTCATCGTGACCCTCCGCCAATTCGTCCAAATCATTTTTATTATTACGGCTCTGATTGTCTAATTGAATTCTAGGATTCTTTGGATTTTCTTCATCATCAGACGATGAAATGCAATGTTCTTTTGATTGTCGTTGTCGTTTTCGTGCAGTAACTGCCTCATCTTCAAAAACATATGGGATTTGACAACGATCTAAAATTTGTTTTAAAAGCGTGGCATCAATTGTGCATAATTTTTCTCCATTCAGTATATAATAAAGTGATTTTGGAACCGAAACTTATTTCATTTTGTGAAAAAATAGTACAAATGTGATATTGTACTGGGATATGGTGCATAAATTATGAAAAGGGCATCTCGTTATTTCCCGTCGCAACTTTCAGTTGCACGATAAGGAGATGCCTTTTTCATAATATTCCATTTTGTCTAAAAATGCGTACCCCAGATAAGGGTCCAGAGTCAAATATGTTAATAGAATATGGTAGTCCTCTGTGAAATGTGTTGATATTATGTTTTTAATGAAAGGAGATATATTAAAATTCTTTCTGTAAAATCCTTTAGCCAATTAAAAGAGATTTGAGAAGTAATAGAATGTCTACATTATTGGATAAGATTTTAGTACGGTATATGAAACTGGCCAATAACAAACGTGCTACGATGGACCAATGATTAATCGCCAGGCCTGCCGGAAACCGTCTGCAACTATTATTAGAACGAGATCAGTCTTCTGCTGTCATCCCCGTAACTTCCGGTAGAGTGAGAGGTGCTATTTTTATTTTATTTATTTATTTAGAAATCCTTTTCTAAGAATTGTGTTGTTCGCTATGATATCATGGTAGGCTTTTTTTTTTCACTACTAAGTTATGAATAAAATTACAGATAGAGGATGACGTCTCTGTGATGATGTCAAATTTATTTGATAATATTAGCAGTTTAAGTTTATTATTGTAGTAGTATATAGTAGCATTATAATAGTTAGATGGAAGGATTGTTGTTTATTTGTATTTGACTAACGAACTATTCTCACACGTCTTCTAATTGGACGAATGTGGCTATGTTTGTTTATAATGGGGGCCCATAGGTATACGAGAAGTGTAATGGTTATCACATCAACCTAACACGCGGAAGGTCACAGGTTCATGCCCTGGCAGAAACATCTTTTTTGTCTATGGCCATTCCACATTGAAAACATCGGTTCTCGTCCGATCACCGAAGTTAAGCAATGTCGGTCAGTACTTGGGAGGGTGACCAGTTGGTAACACCAGGTATAGCTGTAGGCTATTACCTTATTTATGAAAACCATACATTTTGGTTAGTGAAACCATAATCTTTCTCTGTGGGATACAACTCTTGCAGTCCATCGGTGACGGAGTCTTTCCCGCGGTGGACGCCACCAATGAAGACCTTGTATATTTATATGTATATTTATCAATTATATTATCTATTTATATCTATTTATTCATATATTTCTATCATTATTAATCTTATTTATTCATTTTATGTATTGTCAGGAGGACAGAGTTTCCTGGTATTCCCTCTTATCTGGACTGGACCTACCGGTCGGGGTAAACAGTGGCGCCACGGAAAAGGAGGAAAACTCAGTTCTCCCCTCTTGTTCTAACTGCTGGGTCGGTTTGGCTCATGTAAATAGTGACTCTTATTTTATATTTAAAATCTCTCATATAACTCATTAAAATAAATATTAAAAGTAACTTGAAGGCCTAGTTAATTATTTTTCCTCTCGATAGTATTTCACCTTATATAATCTTATATGGACGTTATAATAAATCAGTTTCAATCTCAATCTCTCTCTCTCTCTTTCTCTCTATACGAGGACTCTAACAGGGAGTTATTGTGTGGAAACGTTTAGAGTGTTCTCTGTGTCTATGTCTGGTGATCTCCTCACATACCTGCGTAACCCCGGTCCAACATTGCAATAAAATATAAGTACTGTTTTTTTACATATAACAAACATGTAACAAATAACGTCTCTATTTATTTATTATTTTTTTGCTATTGTTAAACTTTTGAGTGTACGTTTTTCATTGTTTTCCGGTTCCAAAATAACTTTATTAAGTGCCGCTCAAAAAAAAAAAAACTTACATTATGTTATTCAAATTAATAATATGTATAGGGTCTTCACATTTACAGTGTATTTACATATTTACATGGTTAGAGCCTTGTGTTGATTAATTTAAATTAATCCAAAATATATTTTATAACACGTAAAATAACAACACAATTTTGACAATTCACAAGACATCTATCATTCCATAATAACAAACGTGATAAAAGAGCCATGAAGGTATGATAAATGTTCAACAAACACTAAAAAAAGCTAAGTGTAAATAGAGGCATAAAAAACACCGACTGGGGAAAAAAAACAAACAAAATAAACTGTAGATTTACTTTCTTCCGACATTTCTATTTTAAGAATCTGGCAACACTGCACAAACGTCGTCTGCGTAAAATAATACGGTGAAACATTCTCTCTCTCTCTCTCTTACCTCAAAGTTTCGTCTGACGTTTAAAATTAGGCTTAACAATAAAATGCCGAAAAAAACAATTTAGTTCTATTTATATATCTTAATTTAAACGCTTTTTATATTACAGAAATAAAATTCAATTAAAACATAAAGAATTTCCCGCTATAAAATTACTTCTCTTCAACAATTCACTCAGTGTGCAAAATGCATCTAAAGTTTTACAATATTTAAAATGATGAAAATACATTAAAAACATCTTTTTTTTTTGTTCAAATTCTTTAAGTTTTGTCCATGAATGTATATAGATCAACATCCTCCCTGTAAAATTTCCATTTATGATTAATTTAATGATATATATTATATATATAATTATTATTTATATTAGGTATTTACACAAGGAATTATATTTAATACATTGGATGTTTTTGATTCATCATATATTTTGTGAAAACGATAAGAAATTATTTTTTCAGATTTATTTTTGAATTATGAATAATTATGCGTGTAATAATTACCAAAGAATTATTTGAATAAGAAAATATTTTTCAACTTTTTTGGCTAAAGGTTTCTTTTGTTTAATTTTCAAGTTTTGTAAGATTTCGAGAAAATTGCTTTTTTAGGGGCAAATATGAAAAATATGACGACAAAGTGATTTCTTTTGATGACCATGCTCACATGAACATCTCTAGATGGCAGAGCGCCATCTAGTGGAACAAAAATAAACTAAACGTTTATTTTAAAAAAAAAGTGATGCTATTTTCTTTTCTTATTGTAAATAACATCATTTTGTTGACATATTTATTATTATTTGCCCGTAGAATTTTCTCGAAAGCTTGCAAAACTAGAAAAAACAAGCAAACAAAAGATACCTTTTATCTAAAAGCGATGAATAATTATATTAAGATATTTTTAAAAATATATAAATAGGTTCAGATTTTATATAGCCGCCCATCTCACTAAAATATGTAATAGAGAGTATCCTTTATTTTATTAAAATAAATTTACACATTGGTAAAGGAAGAAGAAACATAAATAACTGAATCTAATATGTATATTAAAATCACAAAAAAGTTAAAGTTACATTTTATTTTATGTTGAGAAATATAGATAATTTAGTGTGTGATATTTAAAATTCAACAGGATCATTTAGAATTTGGTCGAAAATATTTTAAAAATAAAATATTTAAATTCATAGAGCCAAAAAAGAAAAGAGAAAATACCAAAAGATAATTAGAAAAAAATGTCAGACGAGAAAAACATATTTAATTTTTTTTAAATGAAATATTTCGTTTTTTTTTTTGTTGAAACGCTAAGAAATTATTTTGTCAGATTTATTTTATTTTTAATTATGAATAATTATTCGAGTAATCGTTACACCCAAGAATTATTTTAATAAGGAAATATTTTTATATAGCTTTTGGGTAAAAAAAAATCTTTTGTTATTGTAGTATTTTGTGTGTTAAAAATTTACATATCATAGAAAAGGTTACGAATAAAAGCGTCATGTAAACATTGATTTAAAATATATAAATAAAATAAAAATAAAATGAATGTAACCTTTTGAATGATAAATAACTTTAAAAAAGTAATTTCATTCGGTGAGTAATCTTAATTTTTTTAACTATACACAAGTTATTTTTCAAGTTTTGCAAGCTTTCGAGAAGATTGTATATGTATTTGTGTGAAGGGTAGTGTGTGTGTAGTTTAAAATATTTAAAAAAATACTTAATTCGTTTTAAAAATCATTTGGTATACAATCATTAATGAATTTTTATAAATAATTAATCGTTGCTTTAATTGTTAATTACTGTTAATTACAATAGTTTATATGTTTCTCTTCGCTAAAGTAATATGGCGGAACAAAAACAACCAAAAGAGAAATAGCCAAGTAACAAATGGCAGAACAACAATTCACTGACAGCCACAAAAATAACAATTTCTTAATAAACAACTCAATAGAGCAGGTGGCTCTGGTCAAAAATAATTAATTGTATATTTCGCTCTCTATTATAAATATTTTAGAAATATTTTTTATTTAAAGTGTATACCTATATATTAATTAAATATGGTTAATAAATTGTATTTATTTATAGAAATATTTTTTTCAACATACAATTTTTGAAATAATTTATTATTTTTGTTGTTATAACTAATGGTGTATGTCTTCTTGCAATTCCTGTTATCAAGCTTATATATAGCTATATAGGTAGAGACTTAGCCTGCCATCTATCGACGATAAATGGAAACTTTACACGCAATATTTAGTTTGACATTTCTATATATTTATAATATAAATAACTTTTTTTTTAGAATTGAAAAATAGTTTGATTATCAATGTGCTTTTATTATACTCACAATTTTTACGAAAAAAAAACTGATAGTTGAAAAAAAATTGCATATACCTCAGAAATAATTATTTAAAATCGATCTTAAAAAGTTGCATATATATCTCAGAAATAATGATCCAATATTGATTTTAAAAAGTTGCATATACCTCTGAAATAATTACCCAATATTGATTAAAAAATTTGCATATCCCTCAGAAATAATTATTGGATATTGATTTTAAAAAGTTGCATATAGTAAAAGTGTCTCAAGAGAAGCAACTTGATATATGTTTTACTTATTTTTGATAGAAGGATCTCATATGCAAATAAGATAAAATATTTATCATTATAAAAATATATAGCTAAAACTACTTCAAGATAATATTATTGAAAATCACTTAACATAAATAATCATTTAATTACTTAAGTTTTTCTCTACCAAATTTTATTAAAATTGTATAAATATTTTTGAGGTACAGCACCAATTAGTTCACTTATAGCCCGAGAGATGGCCTGTGTTCTAAACTTCAGACGCCCTAAACATTAGCCGCCATTTTGGGTGATCCGTACTCGTGTTGTTAGAATATCTTTTGACTTTTACATTTACTTATTATTTAGTGTTTTTATTTATTTTTAACACTATTTCTTTTTTTTCTCTTTTCATTATAAACTATGTATTCCTATTTATCAAACTATTCAAGTTCATGTTTTGATAATAAATTATAATTATTTCTTGAAAATAAAGATACTTCAGCCAGTAAATATTTTTTTACCTCGAAAAATGTAAAAATGTGAATGATTTTTAACACCTTGCCAAATGTTTTAATTTTTGTTTGCTCCTGACGAGGACAAAATATTTTTGTCGAAACGTTGAGGTAATAAAAAAGATTTACTGGCAGAAGAATCTTTATTTTCAAGAAATAAGAATAACGGCCAGGCAACCTCTATTTTTACGATAAATTATAATTAATTATAACCCAAGCGACACTCCACCACGACAATATCAACTATACACATTACTTTGATCCAGGACAAACAGTAGGCTGAAGTACAATTATATAGAAATAAATTGAAGCCAGCCAAGTACGTGTTTCAGGCTTAAGGGTCTTATCAGTTTAGTGCAGGCCATACTTCAACCACCAATCAAGATGGTTTCTCTCTCAGAGGTTTCTTGATGAATATGTCTAAGGGCATTTTAGTCTGAATCCCGATATACATGCTAAAAGGTACAACTTCCTTTAGTTTTGTCCATGAGTGTATTGTCTGAATCCCGATATACATGCTAAAAGGTACAACTTCCTTAAGTTTTGTCCATGAGTGTATTGTCTGAATCTAGATATACATGTTAAAAGGTACAACTTCCTTAAGTTTTGTCCATGAGTGTATTGTCTGAATCCTGATATACATGCTAAAAGGTACAACTTCCTTAAGTTTTGTCCATGAGTGTATTGTCTGAATCCTGATATA